GGTGCCACCGCTGTCCCCGCAGTGCCCTGATGACGCTGATCGCGCTGCGCAACCTGGCGCTGGGCCGCCCGGCCCCGGAGCGCCTGGCACGGGAGGTTGCCTTCGCCAGCTGGCGCGGCGAGGACGAGGAGGAGGAGGAGGCTCGGCCCGAGAGCGACGGGGGAGCCCCGAGGGGCCCCGAGCTCTGAGCACCCCAAATAAACGCGTTTTCGTAAGCCAGAAATCCGCCCGTGCCTCAGTTTCCCCGCACGGGCGGCGCCGCTGCCCTGTGCGCTCCCCGGGCACGTTTCTCCCTTCCTGCTCCATCCATCCCGTCTCCCCCCGTGCCCCCCAAACTCATTCCCCGTCCCTCGGTATTTCCCCAAACCCCTCCTGCCCCAGGGCTCATTCCTGCCCTGTCCACTTCCCCCCACCCAGGACCCTGAGCCTCAGTTTCCCCACACACACCCCTCCCCATCTATCCCCCCCACATCCCACTTTTCCTTGTACCCCAATTTCTCCATCTCCCCGGTGCCTCAGTTTCCAAAATCCCTCAGCTGCCCCCCCACGCGCACTCCAGGTGGCTCCGTCTAACCCATCGCTTTTATTGAGATTCTTTTTCTTTTTTCTTTTAAATTCATTTTTGGATTCTCAGTGGATCAAAACATTCGGACGAAACCTCCCGAAAAGAGTAAAACCGAGAGAAAAAAAACCCAAAAAAATAAAAATCTCTATCCTGAAGGGCAGGAGAAAGGCGCCGCTGCCCCCCCAAGGCACTCTGGGGCCGGAGCCCGGGCGGGCAGTAAACAAGCCGGCTTCTCTGTACCACACCGGCCACAGCGCCGTGCCCGGGCACCCGGCGCCCCGCAAACCCAAAGCCGCCCGCTTTCACCCCAAACTGCGGGGGGCAGCGGCAGGGCGGCGGGAGGGGAAGGGGCGGCTTTCTTCAGGGCTCAGGAGCTGCCGGCTGAGCGCGGGGACTTCTCTGTACTCACGCCCCCGCCTCGGCGCACAATAAATACACCAAACCTTCAAGTATCAAGCGCCAAATGCCCCCCCTGTGTCCCCCCACCAAAATCCGGGCAAAGCTGGGGGGTTGGAGGGGTTGTGCAGTTGGGGAGTCATTTCAGCTTTTGGATTAAAACCCCAAAAAAGAATGTAAAATGTTTTCCTCTGGTACCGAACCCTCTGCGGGGGGGGGGGGTGTTTGAGGGTCGGTTTTAGCGTGTCCCCCCCCCCACCAAAATGTGCATTTTTGGAACAGAAAGAGGTTAAAAATGAGGGTTAAGAACCAAACCCAGCACCAGCGAGGTCCCAGGGGGGTGGGGAGGTGGAATGGGAAGTGTCTTCCCCACCAGCGGGACGGGGGGAGCCAAAAGGAGTATCCTCCCAGTGGAATGGGGACTGTGGGGGGACACACGGGGAGCCACGAGGGGTTTGTGTGTCCCCCCCTGCAGCAGGATGGGGGGGACAGCGGGAGCTAAAATGGGGGGTGTCCCCCTGATGTAGTGGAATTTGGGGAAAAAGGGGAACGGGGAGTGATAAAATGGGGTATCCCCCCACGGCAGGACCGCTGGGACCCAAAACGGGGCGGCCCTGCCACGGTGGGGGCACGGGGAGGGTGAGAGAGGGCACTTGGGCCTTTTTCCCCATCTCACAGCTCGGAGCAAAGAGAGATTTGTTAAAAACCATCCAGAGGGAACGGGGGGCACACGAGGAGGGGCTCCGGGAGAGGCACGTGGTCCCCACACAACCAAAACGATGGTGAGAGACAATGGGGGGCCGGGGGGCCTGGGGGGGCCGGGAGCTCTTTCCCCCAGAGCCCACGGGCTTCTCTGTAACCTACGCCCGCAGGAGTGGGGGGAAAAGCCCTAACAATGCTTTTCTCCTCAGTATTTTAGCTTTTTGGGCACTTCCCAAGGGAAACTGTCCCTACCAAAGTGGCCATAGGCTGCGGTCCTCTGATAGAGGGGCTTCTTCAGATCCAGATCCCTGGAATACACAATTCCCGACTCAGTGAGGCGGCCCCGGGCTCCGGCCTTCGCCCCTTTCCTTCCCTGCCTGGCCGGGGGTTCCGCAGCGGCGCCTCTGCTCCCTCCCGGCCCCGCGGGGCGGTTGGAGCTTCCCCGGGGCCGCGGGCGCTCCCTGGGCGCCGGGGGAGCTCCAAGCGCTCGGCTCCGGCGGATACTTACCCCGTCCGCGCCCCGAGCGCCTTCTCCGTCCGGCCGAGCGGCTCCGCGCTGGGTCCGGGCGCCGGGCGGTCCCCGGGCTGCTCCGGGAGGGACCCCCGCCCGCCCGCCCCCGCACGGCCCCCCGCGCCCGTTACCTGACGATGACCCCGGGGCGCAGGTCGAAGTTCTTCTTGACGATCTCCAGCAGCTCACGCTCGCTCTTCTGCGAGGTGCCGTAGTGGAAGATGGAGATGGACAAGGGGTGCGACACCCCGATGGCGTACGACACCTGCGCGGGGGCGGCTGCGGGTGAGGCCGGGCCCCGGGAGCCCGGCACCCGCCCGGGCCCGGAGCGGCACCCACCTGGACCAGCACCCTGCGGCACAGCCCGGCCTTCACCAGCGACTTGGCCACCCAGCGCGCGGCGTAGGCGGCCGAGCGATCCACCTTGGTGTAGTCCTTGCCCGAGAAGGCGCCGCCGCCGTGCGCGCCCCAGCCCCCGTAGGTGTCCACGATGATCTTGCGGCCCGTCAGCCCCGCGTCACCCTGTTGGGGACAGCAGCGTCACAACCCGTCCGTGCTGTCACCGTGCTGTCACCGTGGTGTGACCGCTGCCACCGTAACCACGCTGACGCTGCCTCCTGTGCGCCATTCCCACCGCCATCGAGGCATCCTAACTGCCACCACTGTGCCACCCTAAGTGGCACCACTGTCACCCCGTAGTCACACTCCATCACTGTGCCCTCACAGCTGTCGTCACCCCCACAGTGCCACCGGTGCCACCACCACGCCGCCGCACCTGGGGCCCGCCGATGACGAAGCGGCCGCTGGGCTGCAGGTGGTAGATGGTGTCGTCGTCCAGGTACTTGGGGGGCACCACGGCCTTGATGACCTTCTCCTTGAGCGCGTCGCGCATCTCGTCCAGGCACACGTCCTCGTCGTGCTGCACCGAGATGACGATGGTGTGCACCCGGATGGGGATCACGGCCCCGCGGTCCTGCATGTACTGCACCGTCACCTGCCGGGGACGCCAGTCAGCGGCGGGCGGGCCCGCGGGGCTCCCGAGGGCCCCGGCCCCGCGGCTCCTCACCTGCGTCTTGGAGTCGGGGCGCAGCCAGGGCAGGGCCCCGCCGCGGCGCAGCTCGGCCAGCTTGGCGTTCAGCTTGTGCGCCAGGACGATGGTCAGGGGCATGCACTCCTCCGTCTCGTCCGTGGCGTAGCCGAACATCAGCCCCTGCGGCGCGGGGACGAGGGGTCACGCCCGGCCCGCGGCCGCGCCGCGGCGGCCCCGCGGCCCCGGCCTCACCTGGTCGCCGGCGCCGATGTCCTCCTCGCTGCGGTCCAGGTGCACGCCCTGGGCGATGTCCGGGGACTGCTGCTCCAGGGCCACCAGCACGTTGCACGTCTTGTAGTCAAACCCTGGGGGGACAGAGGGGCTCCGGTGAGCCGGTGCCAGCCCGCGCGGCCGCGGAGGCGGCGGCGGCGGCCCGGGACGCACCTTTGGAGGAATCGTCGTAGCCGATGTGCCGGATGGTGTCCCGGACCACCTTCTGGTAGTCCACGTTGGCCCGCGAGGTGATCTCCCCCGCCAGCAGGATCATCCCGGTTTTGGCGACGGTCTCTGCGGGGACAAGGGTGACGTCAGCACGGTGTCACCTCCACGTCACCGCCGGCTGTCCCCCGGCGCCCTTACTCACCGCAGGCCACCTTGGCGTCGGGGTCCTGCTTGAGGTGGGCATCCAGGACAGCATCGCTGATCTGGTCGCAGATTTTATCTGGGGACACGGAGAGCACGAGGCGTCACGGCGGCGTGGGACAGCCCAGCACGGCACAGCCCTTCCTTCCGGAGCCTCCGGCCCAGGGATCGGCGCCCCACAACCCAGGAGCCCCCCAGGGTGCACACAGCCCCCGCCTCTCGCCAGTCTGGAATTCCAGGCACGTCCCAGTTAAGCTCCAGCTCCAGCTAAGCCCTGCGGCACCACTGAGGGGATCGGACCCACATGCCAACTTCCCAAATCCGCAGCGGCTCTGCCTCTGGCCAAAGCTGCCGCAGCCGCGGCCGTGCCCCAGCAGAAGGCAGCTCCCTCCTGCTCCCGGGATGGTTCGTGCGGGTGCGGGTGTCCCGAGGGCCACCCGCGATCCCGGGACTGAAGGTGTCCTTGGCAGCGACCTTCTGGGCAGGTTGTGGGCATAGACAAGGCAGCGCCCAGCTAGCGGGAGGGGAGAAGGATCCCCCGGATGCTTTTTGGTGGGGAAGAGTGAGGAAATGGACCGCAGAGCCTCCTGCGAGCCCCAGAGCAGGCACAGGCTGTGCCCTGGGGTTTGGGGGTTCGAGCCAGGAGGAGCAGAGCTCTGGGGCGCCGCGGGGCCCGAGTGGGATCGGAGCCGATGGGAAGCCGGGAAGTGCCGAGCGCGCCCTGAAAGCGGCTGCTGGAGCTGAGAGGATTCCGGGGTACGGGGTGCGCCCAGGCAGCGGGCGCTGGGCGTTGGCGGCCGCCCCCGCAGATTAACGATTAACGGTCATGTGCCGCGGACCGGCGGGGACAAAGCCCGGGAGAGACCGGCACCGGCCGGTACCGAGCCTGGGGGCTCCGACCACCGCCCAGCTGCGGCGGGACGGCGCATCAGGGGACAGCGCCGGGACTTCATCAGCGGCCGGGCGGCCCCGCCGGGCGCCGTGGGGCGGGCGGAGGGCGACACCGCGGCCCTGCGGCGGGGGGGGTGTGCGGGGGGCACCGGGCCCGCCAGACCGCCGGCACCGGGCGCGGGCACAGCCACGCGGGGGTCCCGCGGGGCGCGGCTGAGTCACGGCTGAGTCACGGCGGCGCGGGCCCGGCCCCGCGGTCCCCCCGTGTCCCGCCCCACGCGGGCGGCACGTGCGCGCCCGGGCCCGCAATGCGGCGAGCGCGCGCCCGCCCCGCGCCGCGCGCGCGCCCGGCCGCGCCCCTCCCCCCGGGCCCACCCGCACTCCCTCCATCCTCATCCTCGCTTCCTTCATCCTCATCCTCACCATCCTCCTCCTCTAACCACCCCCCCCACACACACACACACACCCAGCCCCGCCGCCCCCGGCCGCGCCTGCGCGACCGCCGCCCCGCCCAGCCCCGCTCGGCCCGCACCTGGGTGCCCCTCGCCCACGGATTCGGAGGTGAAGAGGAAGGTGCCCTCCTCGATGAACACCTCGTGGAAACCGTTGAGTTGCCCGTTCATGGCGGCGCGATGGGCGGCGACAGGCGGAAGGGGAAAGCGGGAAAGAACAAGAGCGACGCAACCCGAGCGCGGCGGCGATGGACTGAACGCGGCCCCGAGCGCGCCGCCTCTAATTATAGCCTTCTCGCCCCGCCCCGCTGCTGCTCCCAGCCAATGGCGAGCGTCATACGGGCCACGGGGGCGAGGGCCACAACCACTGCAGTCGGGCAGGGGGAGCACGTTACGTAACGCGGAGCTTGGGCTCAACCCCCGGGGCAGTCCTTAGCGCCCCGCCGCCGGCCGGGCACGTACCGGCGTTAAACCGCCGGCCAGGCCGTCTCCTCGGCCCCGCACGGCACAAGGCTGTGGGCGGACACTGATGGCCCCGCCGTACCCTCCCGTGCTGTCCGCATGGCGTCTCCCGCGCGGCCCGGCACCTCGAGGCGCGCGGCAGCGCACGCATGCGCCCGGCGGCGGCAGGGAGCGCGCGTGCGCCGTGCGCGGCCCGCGGGCGGCGAGGACGGCCCCGCCCCCCCGCCGCCATCTTGCGCAGGCCGGCGTCGCCATTGTGCGACCTCGGGCCCGCGGGGACCGACCCCGGCCCGCCCGGGCCGTGGCCCCGCTCACAAGCGGCCCCGCCGCTACCCCGGCCGCTGCGGGGCGGCGGGGCGGCCCTGAGCCCGGGCACGGCCGTGGTGGCGCCCTCGGCACTTGGGGCCACTTGACGCCTGATGCAACCGGCGCCCGGTGTTGCCAGAGCAGGAGCGGCCCCGGCTCCAGCTCCCCCCGTCACCGGCTCGGGGCGGCCCCGTGTCCCGCTGGAACATCCGGGGCTCGGCGGGAGCTGGGGCAGGGCCCACGTGGGCAGGGCAGAGCGACACCCAGGACTGACAGACAGACAGACAGACAGAGGGATGGCGATCCCCCACAGCCAGACCCGCCGGGCTCTCAGCCCCAGCTGCTGTCCGTGTGTCTGCGGGCGGACGGACAGACACACAGACACCCCCGTGTCCCCGCCAGGACAGACGGACACGGCCGGCCATGTGCTCCCGGGAGGCGGGGCCGAGGCACGCCCCACCCACCCTCATTTGCATAGTGGACGGTGCTTCCTCCCCTCCCCTCCCGCAGCACTGGAGACCGTCTGGATTTTTGTAAAAAATGGTTTATGGGTTCCACTTTTGTATAAAACGCAGGGGCGACCGAGCCACTCGCCCACCCCCAGCTGCCGCCCCACAGCCCGCGGTGTGTCCTACTCAGAACCTAAACCCATCCCAATGCTTCCTCTACAGTCAATCCTCTATGCTCTTCCTTTGAACTATTCCTTAAAAAAATCCCTGGTGTCCCCGAGACGTTCCTGTGCCCAGGTACAGGACGACGACCGGGGGATCCAGAGCCGCGCTCCCTCTACGCCGTCTTCTGCTGCCCCTTCTTTCCAATCAGAGACTTGTGGATGTGGGGGATGACACCTGCGGAGAGCGGGGCAGAAATCCAGTCACGTCACCTGCGGAACTCCCCAGAATCTCCAAAAACCCCCCAACTCCCCATTCCGTGAGCGTCAGGCGGGTCCCCAAGCAGCGAGCCCGTGCTCTTGTCCCCGGTTCCCACTGGGTCTCCCCTGCCAACGCCCCCCGCGGGACCAGGCCCACCTCCACCAGCGATGGTGGCTTTGATCAGCGAGTCCAGCTCCTCGTCGCCGCGGATGGCCAGCTGCAGGTGCCGGGGCGTGATCCGCTTCACTTTGAGATCCTTGGAAGCGTTCCCGGCCAGCTCCAGCACCTGCAGGACAGCGGAGGAGGCGGGAGTGGCGGGCCGGCCGCGGAGCCGCGGGCCTGGGCGGGGGCAGGTCCTACCTCAGCCGTCAGGTACTCCAGGATGGCCGCGCTGTACACGGCTGCCGTGGCTCCCACGCGCCCGTGGCTGGTGGTCCGAGTCTTCAGGTGCCTGTGGATGCGGCCGACTGGGAACTGGGGGGCAATTAACGACCTCGTTAATACCTGCAGCCCCCCCAGGGTGCACATTTACACCCTGCACTGCTGGGCTGGGCTGTGGGAGCAACCCTCCAGGCAGATCATTATCCAATTTATTTATTATTTCATATATAATATATATTAATATATTATATAACTAATAGTATATATTATGTTAACCTATTATATAACCTACTATATGTATTACAGTTAATCACTACCCAATTTATTACTTGCTAATATATTATATATAATATACTACAAATATTACAATTAATCAGTATCAAATTTATTTATTTCATATATAATATTTATTAATATATTATACAATTAATATATAATATTTTAATATATATAACCTACTATATATTCCAGTTAATCACTATCCAATTTATTTATTACTTGTTAATATATTATATATACTACATATATTACAATGAATCACTATGCTATTTACTTGTTACTTGTCAATATATTATATATATATAATCTACTACATATATTACAATTAATCGCTACCCAATTTATTACTTGTTAATATATAATCTACTATATATATTACAATTAATATATCATATCAATATATGTTATTATAATCCTTTACATTGTGATATATATTGTAATTATAACAATTTAGTAAAATTTAGACATTTTAAATCTTGCACGGCATAAAAATAATTGTATTTTGATTATAATACTTATTAATTAAAAGATATAACCAATTACTTCTCCCAGTTAATCCCCCCATCCTCTGCGTCCCACCCGACAGCAAAGCCCCTCTGCCCGCCCGGGGCTCCTCGTGGCTCCCGGTGCCAAAATCGCCCGTTCTGACCCCAAAGCAGAGGCCCGGGGCGCCGTACCTGCAGCCCGGCCCTCTGGGAGCGCGACACGGCCTTGGCCTTGGCCTTGCCGCTGTCCTTGCCCGCCTTGCCGCCAGCCTGGGAGAGAAAGGGGCCTGTTAATTAATCTAATCACTGCCTGAATCCAAACAATCTCGTTAATTCTAAGCCAGAGGGACCTGCTGCAGGATAAGCTGGCAGCTCCCTGGCAACTCTCGAGCCACGCAGATCCAAGAGGATAAACAAGGGATGTTTTCAGGGTGCAGCAGCTGCTCCCTCGCCCCGGGGTCTCACCCTGCTGCCACTGCTCCCAGTACTTCCCAGAAAATGCCAAATGGGGGGGAAACAGCCCAAAATCCCATTGTTGAGCCTTTTTTCCCCAGCAGCTGTGAGCCCAGTTTGTTTTCAGATGCGATTTCCCCACGGGCTGACGCTGGGCAGCAGGCAGGGCACTGCTCCTCACATGGGAATGTGAATCCCGTGGGATCGGGGCAATTCCCCTCCTCCAGCAGAGTGGGAACCCAGCCCGGGGCCCCAGGCACGGTGGGTTTAACCAAAACCACGGTGCACGGGGTGGAAATGCCACAGCCAAGAGTTGGGGAGCTGCCGAGTAACACGGAAGAGCCGAGCACGCCTTTGCTGGGCTCTCCCATCCGCTGCCAGGAAATCCACGGATTCCAGGGATTTGGGAAGACCCCATGACATCATTAATCACTAATGAGGGTTCCTAATGAAGGTGAGAGCCACGGGTGACGCAGGAAAGCAGAGGGAGCTGCACCCTCCCCGTGGGAAAGACGTCAGCAACCCAAAATCTGCTCTAGGTGAAAAAAAAACAGGGATAACAATCCCCAAAAATAAATTTTCTAACCCACAGAAATACAAGGAACAAGAGCAGAGGGAGACAGGAGCCTGAAAACACCCTGGATACTCACAATCCCTCTTTTTCTAGAATATATTGATCCCACAATCCCCATCCCCTCTAAAAAGGAGGAATTCTGGCTCCCGGTGAGGGAGCTGAAAGGATTCAGACATGCCAGGAGAGGAAGTTGAACAGGTTAATCCTTAAAACAAGATCCTGGTTAACCTGGGAATGTCCAAGATCTGGGTCCCATCCCAGCCAGGTGGGAGTTAAAACCAGGTTCAGTTCAAACACTGGGAAAAAAATTAGTCAGGAGGGGGCATTAATTAATCCCGAGGTGATTAAAGCAAGCAGGGGGCAGCGGGTGAGGCCATGGGGGACCCAGCAAATCCACTCTGCAGGAGTTACTTCCATCAGGAGAAAACATCACTCCACCAAACTGCTGAACTCAAGGAGGGCATTTTGGGGGGTGGATTTGAGATTTATGGGGAAGAAAGGGGGAGGCAAGGGGGATTTGTGGACATTTCCTTGCTCCAGGAATAAAAGGCAGCGTTGGGAAAAGCACTGGCTGTTCCCACTGAGGGCTCTTATCCGCCAGCTGTGAAGTTTCCCACTGCCCCAGCAGGTTTTCCAGCTCGGAGCTGCTGCCTGAGACATCTTCATGGCAGGGGGCTGACTAGGAAGAGCAAGAAAGGGCTCCTGGACTCCTCCCTCCTGAGGGGGCAGTCCCGAGGAATTCTCTCCTCACCCTCTGCGTTGGGACAATCCTTGTAGCATCTCCATCCCTCCTCTCCACCCCAGCCCCTCGCTGGGAGCACATTCCCGTGCTAAATCCTAAATCCCGCCTGGGTCTGACCCCGGGAGCGAATTCCCGTGCTAAATCCTCCCTGGGTCTGACCTGCTGGTTTCTTTTTTGTTTTGTTTTTTTTTCATATTGCTTCAAACAGGACAAAACCCCTCCAAGCAGCAACTTCTTATCTCGAGCCGCACATTCCCAGACATCCCCGAGCGCAAGTTCTTGGCGGCGGCAGGAGTTGCATAATCCAACGGTGTTTCCACTAGCGCGGAGGGACCCCCCCGAGCCCACCTGTGGATCCGCGGAACCCCCCAAGCCCCCCGGAGATCCACAGCACCGCTCCTGCGGATCCACAGGGTATCTCCGGAGAACGCGGGGACCGCTCGGACCCCCTGCAAACCCACAGGAAGCCCCCGCGGAACCACAGAACCCCCTCAGCGACCCTGCAGATCCACGGAACGCCGTGACCCCATCCCCCTGCCCGCCTCCGCTGACAGCTCCGGGCTCCGCTCCCCCCGTTCCCCCCACGGGGCCACAGCAACGGGGCACCGGGGAGAACGACCCGCCCGTTCCTCCCCGTCCGGACCGGGCCGTTTCCGCGGGAAGCTGAGAGATCCCGCGGCAGCCCGGAGAAGGCGCCGGGCGGTTTGACAGACCCCGCTCGGGCCCCTCGACCGCCGCTCCCCCCACGGCGGCCGCTTCCTCCCGGCCAACCGGCACAAACCGCGGCCGCGGAGACACCGGCCGCCACCGCGCCGCGCTGACAGCGCTGCAGCGCACCGCCGGGGCCGGATCTCGAGGGCAGGACAAACTCCCTCCCCGGGAACAGGGGCGCAGCGGCCACGGGGCACCGGGGGAAGCGCCGGGCCGGACCCAAGGTCACGGACCGGGGCCCGGCCCCAGCTGACAGCGGCGCCCATTGGCGGCCCCACGGGGCCCGGCCGCGCTGTCCCGGCCGGCCCCCCGAGTCCCGAGCCGCTCTGCTGCCCCTGCCCTCACCATGGTGCCGCCGCCGCCGTCCGAGCCCCAGAGCCGCCGCCGCGCCCGACCCGCCTCAGGAGCCGCCAGACAATGACCCGCCCGGGCGGGGGCGGCGGGCCGCGCCGCGCCGCGCCCAATCACCACCTGCAATACTAGTTTGAACATCCTGCGGCACCCAATGAGCGAGCCGCTTCTTTCGCCGTCCATCACGGGCTCCGCCCCGCGGCTCGTTTAACGGCTGTGTTGCCTTTGCACACGGCACGCAGCGGGGTGAGGGCGGGGCGCGCTCGCTGCGGTGACGTCACTGCCCGGCCAATAGCAACAGCGAGCACCGCGGGGGGAGGCGGGGCTACGGTGATAGGCAGTTGACTGAGCCAATCGAGAGCGGGCGGTGTTTCCCGCCCATTCCACGGCTCCGCCCCGGGCCGTGTTTGTGTGAGGGAGCCGGGAGGGGGCGGCCGTGAGGGGGCGCGGGCGGCGGGGCAGCGGCGGCTCCGGGTTCGCTCCCGACACGGCCCGGCCCTGCTCGGGGCCGAGCGGGGACCGCGCCCGGGATTCCCTGCCCCGCCGTGTGTCCCGGGGGCGGTACATCCCCGTAGGATGAGTGAGAAGGGCAGCGGTCCTGCGGTAACGCGGACCCTGAGCGGCCGAAGCGTCTGTCAGTGGTGACAGCAGGTGGCCACAAAAAGCCCCAAACTCCCCGGCACTGCTGGGGGGAAGAGGGCCCCTTTTCGCACAAACATACCCACCGAATAAAAACCCGGTTCCTCACGGCGGGCCCCGCTCAGTGCCGGATGGAGCCTGGCTCTGGGGCTAGCGGAGGTTGTAAACGCAGCCGGGGATTCGGCAGCGAGGCTCGGCGCCGGGCAGCGGCTCGGCGCTGTGGGCGCCTCGGCCTGCCCGTCCCGCCGTGCCTCAGTTTCCCTCCCGCACCGTGCCCGCCGCTGCCGCTCTGCCGGGGGCTGCGGGCGGCCC